TTTTTGTATCCCTTTGGGCATAGTTCCAAATTGTTCTCCAAAATGGTTGGATCATTTCACAACTCCACCAGCAATGCATTCCAATTTTCCCACATCCTCTCCAACATTTATCATTTTCTTGTTTTGTCATGTTGGCCAATCTGATAGGTGTGATGTGGTACCTCAGAGTTGTTTTGATTTGCATTTCTCTAATCAATAACGATTTAGAGCATTTTTTCATATGACTATAGATGGCTTTAATTTCGTCATCTGAGAACTGTCTGTTCATATCCTTTGACCATTTATCAATTGGGGAATGGCTTGTGTTCTTATAAATTTGTCTTAATTCTCATGTATTGTAGAAATGAGGCCTTTATCAGAAAGACTGGTTATAAAAATTCTTTCCCAATTTTCTCCCTTCCTTCTAATCTTAGTTGCATTGGCTTTATTTGTGAAAAAACTTTTCAATTTAATGTAATCAAAATTATCCATTTTGCTTTTCATAATGTACAACATTAATTTTTCAATAAATCACAACTGCAGGGCATATTGCAAGTATTTTAAAAAGATCTATTTTTCTCCAGCCTTAAAGAGGAAGGCAATTTGTTCTGATTACAAACCTGCCATCAAAATATTCCAATTATTTCTAATCTAAAGCCTTGGTGAGTTTGTTTTCAGAATATGTTTAGTAACCTTGGGGATAAGCTATTTCCTTGTTGTATTTTTTTTGTTGTTATCTATCGGCAATAATAATAATACAAGTTATCAGTCTTACCTTTCTTCTCCCCTTTCTCAAAGTGCATTGCAAATATTATCTCAAGTGTCTTTATCTCCTTTCCATTTTATACCAAAGGGGACTGTTTTTATTCTAGAAGGCTAGTATAGTAGAAGCAGAGGGCTTAGGAAACCTGAGTGCTAGTTCAGAGACCCTACATCTTAAGTTAGAGAGCATCTCTCCCACAGTCTTCTGATTTTTCAGTTGAAGAAGCCAAGGCCCAGAGAATTTTTTTTTCTTCGCAAATTTATTTTTCTCTAAGGGCTAATAAGAACACTTCTAAGACATACAGATTCTAAAGCAAATAATGGAAGCTTACTTAATAAATACTAATTAGTGATAATGCCAGTTATGGCTTTAACAAAAATACTGTAGGCTCTTTGCAAGTCTTCTGATAATATAGCAGACACGATGTCATTTTTGTCTTTGTACCCCACTGCCTAGCACAGTGCTTGGCACAGACAGGTACTTAATAAATTATTTTTGATTGACTTAAAGTCTTCCATTTTTCTAATATATTTCAATGAAAATAAAAGGAATCTCAATCTGAGCCTGGAAATTAAGGCCTGGCTAAAGTGAGCCCTCTTCTACATCTGTGAAAATATATTTATCAACAGTCTGTAATATGAGGCCCAATTTAGTGTTCATCAATTAGTAGAAAATGTGAAATATCTTATACTGTTCCCTGTCTGGCTTTTGAACTTTTATCTTTGGCCCAAAGGCCAAGGTGTTTGCTGTGTGACTATGTCATCTTTCAGCCTTGTTCAAATTTCTTCATTATCTTTCTGTATTTCCTTTGAATGATTAAACAGTCAATTCATCAACAAGCATTTATTAAGTGACCTTTATTTGCCAGACACTGTAGGGATACAGAGACAAAAGTGAAAGTCTACCCAGTGAAACAACATGTACACAACACCTCTGGTCCACGTGGTTCTGATGCCTCCTTTTGCCACAGAATTTTGAAATTAAAAGTCCCTACAGTAGCCATCTGATCTAAAACATACTCCCTAAAAGGAACCCATATTATAACATACCCAATAAGAGGTCACTTGGCCTCCATTTGAAGTCCATGGAGGAGCAGCCCATCACTTCTCAAAGCAGTCCATTTCACCTTTTTGGTAGTTATTTTTTAGGAAGTTCTTCCTTATATCAAGCCTCAGTTTACCTTTTTGAAGCTTTTGCCCACTGCTCCTGGTTTTGCCCTCTAAGCCAAGCAGAAGGGAAAAATTGCTTCTTCCTTCTCTTTCCATTAGATTAAAAATGTTGGTACCATAGCGTGGAGTGGCATATCCCAGAAGGAAATAACTTTCTCATGTATCCCCAGCACCTAGCACAATGCCTTGCATATAGTAGATACTCAGTGATGCTTGTTGAATCATTTTTCTGTTTGAAAATGCCATCTATTAGCCTGATTCAAATCTTCTTATTGTACTCCCTGTAACCTTTGGTTTATGCTGAACAACTCTGTTGTTCTTATCAATGTGTCAATATATCATTCACAGAATTTTTAGGATTGGAATATCTTTAGCAAAACACCCTGGAAATAATTCTTCAGCAGCTAGACTGCACTCAGTATGAAGTCTTTTTTTGAAGATTTCAGATGAGAAACTTCTTGCAAACATACACACACACACACACCCCAATTTCCATTTAAATCATGTCAAGTTCCGTAATTAAACAGATGTCCCTGACTTGTAGGCTGTATTTTTTTTTTTGGCATGTAAGGCAAATGTTTAAAAAAAAAAAAACAAAACTCCAAAACATTCTGAATGGAATCAAAAGAGATAATGTTTCTTGGTTGTAAGTGATAAGGGGTGGGTGTGGGGGTGCGGCGTCAGTTTTAAGAGATCTCATTTCAAGTGCAGCCTTGGTTTTTATGTGTGTGGGAATGGAGTTAAAGGAAAACACAGCTGAGGCTGCAGGCTAACTCTTCCTGTCTAACCTGTTCATTTCCAGGGTGAGTCAGCCCTGGCCAGAAATGTGCCTTCAAACCAGCTTCCAGTGAAATCCATATGGGAATTCCAACAAACTCATTCCCCTTGATGTCTCTAAACAGCTAATCTCCTTCAAAACACATTCTCTCTTCCTCCCCCCCACCCCCCATCTCTGTAGAAATCCTCCTGGGGGAGAACTCTGTGTGTCCCTCCTAGTGTTCTTTCTTTAGAGGGAAGGAGTGGAATGGGGAGGTGTCATTCGAGAGAGCTGCTGATGTCAGTAATGTGTCAGCAGTGGGAGGTTAGGTCTGTGAAACCGAGTTACACCTTAGAAAGTGTGTGATGAAACTGAGGCCAGAGCTCCTTAAGGAAGCACTGTAGGTGGGGGTGAGAGAAGAGGAGAGGCTAGGGGTCTTTTCTTCCCTTCCTCGGCTACTCTTGAAGACTAGGAATGTTTCAAAGGATCACATTTCACTGCTGGACCTTTTAACAGATAGGTATGTTTTTTTTTTAAAAAAACTTTTCTTTTGTTCGAATTTTCCTCTGTACTCTTTGAACTCAGAACAAGTTTAGGGGTGTAGATGGCTGTGTGTGCCCTCATGGAGGGGGTGGGGGAGCACAGAGGGAGAGTGCTCTGAGCTTTATTTTTCTGTGTGTGTTTGTGAGGAAAAGAGCCAGGGCAATTGTCTTCGGTGGTTACATATTCATTCTAGCGAATACAACTTCATCTTTCCAGGCACTAGAATGCCCTTGTAAATTCTTGCCCAGGAGACTTCAGTAACAGCATGTAGGTCCTCAAATACTGATGCATTCTAATTCAGGAGGAAAATTCCAACACTGTTTGGGCAGCCAATAACCTATCCCTATGAAGGCTTTTTTCATCATGCTTTTAAAAATCCAGCCATCACCATTCTGAACTCAAACAAGGGTCTAAATGATGGTATGAAATGTGTAGACTAGTTATTCAACAAGAATCAAGCAGAGCCTTTTCTTTTCTTTTGCAAATAAGGATTGAACTAAATGGCACTTTCTGAAGTTCAGGTTCAGTGGGAGAGCCCCAGGGAACCAGCAGGTCTAGATGGAAAGCGTTATTAATGAGCTTGATAACATAAGTCCATTTAAAATGGAGCTAGGCATCTTTAATTTCAGGAGTCAGGTGCTTTCATCAAAGCTTGTTCAGTTTTCTCGCAGACAGTGCTAATTGTTTAGGATAAAACATTTCATGCGATGAAATAGTTTAATAGGCAGTCAGAAGCACTGTTGGGATGCCCTCTTTGCTGTTTTCCTTTACTGAGGAGGGGATACCATCTTTTACTCTGCACTTTTGCCTGTAATTTCCACAGGTTGCAGGGGGACAGAGCAGGTGACAGGGGTACCCCACAAATAGTAGGAGCTCAGTTTTACTTTCACTTTGGTACTGCAAGTTTCTGAAATGTATCCCTCCAGGGTCCAATTGAAACACTCTTTCTTTGGGGCCTATTTCCCTTAGCTTTTAGAACACCAGCACATCCTGACCATAGATAAGAAATGAGCTCCAGATTTTGCCATAATCTGGAGGGATCTAATCATTCTTACTAGCTTAGTTCAGTCAGGCTAAAACTCTCGATGGGAGGGGAAAGGGAAGGGCAGCAGAAAAAGTAGTGAAGACTGCCTTGAACTTGGCCTTTGGGGTTCTGATCATCCCGTAGCTCCCTCTTCCAGCAATCTGGGCACTACACCTTCTTCAGGCTCTCCTATCTGTAAAATGAGGGGTTTGAAAGTCATTGATCTTATCTCTCATTTGGGGATTCTAGTTTGCATTTTATCTGAGCCGGACTCGAAATTAAAATTAAATGGCACAAAGGAAACTTATCAGCAATGTAAAGCACGTAGTAGAAGATTATAGCTAGCTAGATTTACAGTTAAAATCTACACTCCACTCAGTGGTGTGCCTCTCTGGCATGATTCTGATAAGACGAGAGCTGGATTTGAACCATGTTTATGTTCTCATGGGTTTGGGGCTATAAAGACTGGGAATACAGATAATGGATTTATCTGTATTTATTCACAAATTGGGTTGCTGGTGTTTTAATAACTAATTGGCTTTCTTATACTCAAGGATCTACAAATGACTTAAACTCTCAGAGCCTTCCTCTAGTTATCTGTAAAACGGACATAGTATCCACAGATCCTACCAACTAAGGTCATTGTGATACTCATGAAATAATGGATGTAAAGGACATTGAAACTTTTAACAGGACACATAAAGGTCATTATTTAACCTCTTAAAATTGAAAATACTTGTATTGTCTGTTCTTTTTGTTATTTAGTTGTTTCAATGGAAACAGCTGGAGAACTTATATTTCCGTGAAAAGAAATTTGCTGTCGAAGTTCATGACCCTCGAAGGTGAGAATTACGATCCCTCTCCTAGCTGGAGAGGGATTGATTGTTTTGAAAACTAAGTTGAAAAGTAGCTATCTAATTGAATTGGTATGACTTTTCTCCCCTCTTCCCCCTCTCCCCCTCAATATTTGGACTGTTTCTAGTTGTTAGGATTTAGGAATGAGAAAATTCTAATTCATTATTCATGGAGAGCTTGGAGGTGGGGAAGAGGCTGTGGTATGTGGGGGAATGTTCATTGTGCTCAAGTCAGAGGCTTACTGACACTAACTCCGTGACCTTGGCCAAGTCGCTTTGCCTGTTGGAACCCATTTCCTCATCTGGAAAGGATACTATCAACTGCCTCACAGCATTGTGGAAGGCTTGCATGGGATGATACATGCAGGGTGTCCTCAGACTTTTGGAACACCTTATGTAAAGAACTTTGTTCCAAAGCATCAACTTTTCAATTATGGTCTGTTTATAGAAACTTATAGAAACTTATAATCTGCTTTGAAATGATAGGGAAAAGAAACCATGGCAAAAACAGGCAACCAAAGAAAAGGCCAAGTCTACGAAAAGCTTTTCTCCTATTGGGAAAAACAACATAAAACAAACCGTGCCTCTCTGGACCATAGTTCAACTGAAAACCACATCTTGTGTTTTTAGGAGACAGCACAGAATTAGACAGAGTGCTGGGTTTGGAATCATGCAGATCTGGATTCAAATCCTGCCTCTGGCATTTATTCGCTAAGTAACCAAGAGCAAATCATGTCATTTCTCTGAACCTCAATTTTCCTCAGTGCCAGAGAAGAATAATACCAGTAGTTCCCTTCTCAATAAGATATTGTGAGGCTTCCATGAGATAATATATGGTAAAGCTCTTTTATATAAATGCCATGTATTACTATTGAGTGTCTGTTAGATGCCAGGCACTGTGCTCTGTGTGTGTGTGTGTCTGTGTGATATAAGGACAAAAATGAAGCTGTTGCTGATTTCAGGGAGCTTATATTCTATCAGGGGAGATAATACCAGCCAAGATAAGTAGATGCAAAACAAATACAACATAATTTGGAGAGGGGTGGGTAGGGCACTAGCAGCTGGGGAATCAGTAAAGACTTTATAGAAAAAGTGGTGCTTACTTGGATTTTCGAGGGGAAACAAGGGACAAAGAGGCCAGAATGCATTCCAGTCACAAGAGGTAGCCAGTGCAATGTCAGAGAAGTGGGAGATGATGGATATCATGTGTGAGTAACACCACTGAGATCAGTTGTGGTTCACCTGGAGAGTCTCAGAATGAGGGTACACTGTGTAATAAGGATGGGAAAAGCTAAAACTAGAAGGCAGTTCTGGTGTCATGAGTAATGAGAACTCTAGGCCACCAGTTTTGAAGCCCTTAGTTACCGATCTAGCCCTGCCATTAATCCCCCTTTTGAGCCTCAGTTTCCTTATGTGTCAGATGAAGGGCTCAGTGATCCTCAGAATCTAAGATCCTAATAATAAATCTACAAAATCAGTCCCTTATCTTCTGTATTCCATTTTCTTGGATATAAAATATTGATAAGCCCCTGCTTCTTGAGAAGGTTATGCATCAATAGAGGCTTTTAAATAGGGCCTCTCCATCTAGCTTCTAATATACAATCGTCACTTAGCTTTTTTCAAAAATTGTCTGGCTCCACAAGGAGGAGGTATTACCTGAGTTCAGACTTAGCTCAGAACTCATCCTTCCAGTCCCCTGCAGCTGCTGCTGCCTTCTTCCATCTTTAAGATCGTCTTCCACTTCCACTGTGTATATCTTGTACAATCAGTTATTTGCCTGTTGTCTCCCCCACTAGAAGGTAAGCTCCTTGAGGTCAAAAACCATCTTTTAGCCTTTCTTTGTATCCTTTGTGCTCAAGAGACTGTCTGGCATACAGCAGATGTTAATAAATGTTTGTTAACTGACTTTTTGTCATGAAAAGAGCAACTTTTGAAAGGGTTGACAAGTAGGAAGATAAGAAATGACTTCAAAAAAATTAACTCACCAGGCACATTTTACCTGGTGCTGGGCCAGGCCAAAGGCAAGTAATTGGTTTTTTTCACTCAGTGAAAGGCACATGACTTTAACACTCATTCTGAATGTTTTAGAATTTCGGTATCAAGAAGAACCTTTGGGCAGAGTGGACTCTTCGTGCAGACCTGGTATGCCAACGCTTCTCTCATCAAATCCATCTGGGTGATGGCAATCAGTCAACACCAGTTTTACTTGGACAGGAAACAGAGCAAAGTGAGTTAGCAGATGTATTATTGTAGGGAGGGAAATCCAACTCCCTTGTTTAGTTTCTAAATAGAGGGTATTATTCAATTGATAAGTTACTTGCAGAAGAGAACATGCCAACGATGAGTTTTCTTCTGACGACCCTGCAGTCTTTTTTAAAGTTTTCCTGCGGGAGGGAAAAAAAAAAGATGTGGACATACATAAATGCGGGAAAACTGATATACAGTTTACATGTATCTTAGCATTTGTGTGTCTTCGGTAATATCTTAAAGTTAGTGGGTTGTGAAGCTCTTATGATAATATGAGTAACCAAACAAAATTATGAAAAACCAGCCCAAATCTAACGATTTATACAACATTCTGACTAACAGAGCATCTGACATTTCTTGGCCCATAACCTTCCTTTTTCCTCCCCTCTACCAAGAGGAAGGAATCATCTACCCTCTGAGACCGATATTGGTTACTTATTTAATCTGAGACGTGTAGCCTTTTAAACTGCACTCTCTAAGACTTCATCATTTTTTTTCCTCTTGTCATTAGTTGGGATAACAATAAAGAATTCTTTCTTGGCCCCTGCAGGCAAAAATTCCCTCCGCCAGGAGTTTAGACGACATCGCCATGGACTTAACTGATACAGGCACGCCAAAGGTTTCCAAATTGGTGACTCTGGAGGCAAAAAACCAGTTCATCATGGCAAGCAACGGCAGCTTGATCTCCTCAGGTGATCTATTAGATGAGAGTGGTTTCCAGTCCTTTCTTTTTCTGCCCACTGTGACTTTGTTCAGTCCTATGCCTTTTAAAATGCCTTGCCTGAATAGTGGCAGTCTCACGGAATTTGCACTTGTGGTCTCCCTTTTTTTTTTTCCCTCAACTGTATTTTCCAATTAAGAAGAAAATACAATGTGGTTGATTGAGGGAGTCTGGAAGACCTATCCTGCTTCTTGACATAATTCTGATTGTATAACCCTGGGCAAGTCACTTAACTTCAGTGCCCCTAACCATTTCTCTTAAGATAGCAGGTCACAGAGGAGTTGCCAGTATACTATCAAAAGAGGGAATATTTATGCTGGGAATTCCCCGAATTGATGAAATCACATATCTGACCTCTCAAAAAAGAAAGCTCAGTAAAAGAAATAGCAAATATTAGAATTTTAACATTGTATGAAATTGTAATGTGACTGAAATAGACTTTTATCTTTCAAATCTCTTTACTTGTGAGTCTATATTTATAACTTTGTGGGAACTCCTCATCACTTCTCAATTATAACATTGCTGTAGCCTTCTAACTAGCCTCCCTGCTTGACTTTCTTTTCTCCCACATACATCCTCCACGGAGTTGCCCAACAAATGTTCCTAAGACACAGAACGGGCCAGTCTCCTGCTTAACAGTCTTCCACAGGAGCAGCAAGGTGGCACAGTGGATAGAGCTCTGGCATTGGAGTCAGGAGGACCTGAGTTCAAATGTGGCTTCAGACACTTGACACTTACTAGCTGTGTGACCCTGGGCAAGTCACTTAACACTGGATTGCCTCACCAAAAAAAAGTCTTCCATGGCTCCCTATTGTCTCTGAGATAAAATACAAACTAACTCCTAAAGCTGACATTTAAAAGCCCTTTATAACTAAGCTCCTGCATACCTTTCCACACTAATTCATTTTATTCCCCTTCACGCAACCCATGTTTTATCAAAATTGCACTGCTAACTCTTTCCCAAATGCAAAATTCCATCTCCCATCTACAAGCTTTCAAAAAAGCTGTTCCTGCATGCCTGGAATTCGCTCTCTTTCTCACCTTTGCCCCTTAGAATCCCATGTTTCCTGCAAAATTCTACTTGAACATTGCTTTGTTTCCTGATCCCTTCCCAGCTTTTAGCACCCTCTCCCCACCCCCACCCCCAAATAACATATATTTTGTATATACTTTATGTATATACATGCTTGATAAAATATGTTTCCTGAGGTCAGCAAATGTTTCATTTTTTTGTCTTTGTATTTCCAACTCCTAGCACATAATAGGAGCTTTATAAGTACTTGTCGCGTTGAATTAAAGGGAACAATCAGATTGTCTTGATGCTGCCACCTCCCATCCCCATGGACAGATGTCTCCTCACGTCACCTCAGAAAACAAAACCTCTTCTCAGGGCAGTTTCAGAAACCCGCTTTACTTTATCACAGTTTTCAAGAAAGGGAAACACAATCAAATGTAGCTTGGCCTAATGGTTGGAGTACTGGATTTGTGATCCAGAAGCACCTGGCTCAGATCCCACTTCCGGCTCTTTGCTAACCATTCGACCCTAAACAAGTCTCTTGACTGTGCTGTACCTCAGTTTCATCTGTAAAATTGGGATAATAACAGCACCTCCCCCGAAGAGTTGTTCTGAGGTGAAGATTAGATAATATACGTCAAGAGCTTTGTAATTAATACATGTCAAGTGCTTTTCAAATGTTAAAAGCTCTATGTAAATATCAGCTATTATATTATTATTATTATTATTATTATTATTATTATTATTATTACTCTTTTTCAGGCCCTTTTTAGCACCAGCGTCTACACTATGCCCAGAATCATGAGAAAATGTTCTGCTGTTTCCTTTGATTATGTTTAGAAACAAGGAGAGAAGAAATAAGCTCTCATTTAATAGCTGGTTTTGGCTCTATGGCCTTTGTTCCATACAAAGGAAGGAAATTTGATTCTCAAAAAACTCCCCTGCTCTTCTCCCCCCCCCAGTTGTTTTTTTTAAACAAAGAAATAAATAATCGACTCTCTTCAGGTTCTCAAGACTCAGAGGTCAGTGAGGAACAAAAGAAAGAGAAAATAATGGAACTGAGAAAGAAAGAGAAGCTTCTGCAAGAAAAACTTCTGAAGAAAGTGGAGGAGCTTAAGAAGATTTGCCTGCGCGAAGCAGTGAGTGTCCTCCGCTCCCGGCGTCCTCAGAGCCTGTTTTGACACTTGATTCAGTGACACTAATCCTATCTCACTTCCTTCCTGTTTTATAGGAGCTCACTGGTAAGATGCCAAAGGAGTACCCACTGAATTCAGGAGAAAAACCCCCTCAGGTCAGAAGGCGTGTAGGCACGGCATTCAAATTAGATAACAGCTTGCTTCCCAGCGAGGAGGTATGGCCCTTGTGTTGGAACACCTTGTCTGGGAACGTCTCAAGAGCAGCTGAGGGGAAGGGAAAAAAGTGCTGTGTGTTGGCAGGCCCTGGTCAGCCTCTGGCTCTTCATTTACATTTGCTGCCTTACGTTTTGATCTCAGCTGATGAATTAAAAAAAAATGGACACAATTGGATTAGCTGTTTCCTGTAACCAACAAAACAGGAGCTAAAATATAAAGCCCTGAGATGAAAATGGAGATTTCTCTCTTCCCTGAGCAATTTTCAGGAGAGAATTACAGATCTCCCCTCCTTCTCCCCAAACAAGAGTAAATTGGACTTGTTTTTTTCAAAGATAAGATCATGCCTATGGACTAGAGCTCACAGTGATGTGCACGGAACCCCATGGCTAGGTGCAGCCTAGCCACGTGTGGTAGGATGAAGACACAGTGAATCTCTCTGTGCTTTGGAAAGATGGGAGCTACAGCCCTCCAAAGCAAAGTGACTCCCCCCACCCCCCGCTACGCCCCCAAAAAAGTCTGATAAATTAAGAAGCGGTGTGGTCAAATGGAAAGAGCGCTGAATTCGGAGTCAGACAGCCTAGGTTTGAGTTCTCTTTCAGACTCACTGTCTTCCCAGGTCGCTTCCTGCTCCAAGGCTATTATCCTGTGACACTGGCCCCATCACGAGAGTGGAGACCCTCTCTACAGAGAGGCGACGATGATAGTCTTGAGATGCGCAATGAGACATACATTTTGCAGACATGGCCCATGTGGGAATTTGTTTTGCTTGACTGAATATTTGTTGTGTGTGTGTTATTTTTATTTTTCCTTCCTTTCCCCCTCCCCTCCCCCTCCTCCTCCTCCTCCTCTTCTTTTCTTTTTTCTCCCTATCTCTTTAAAAAATGGGGGCTAGGGATAGGGTGATCAAGAAAAGACAGTTATTGAGGCCCCAGCAGAAGGAAGCACAGACAACCAGGACCACATTGAAAACTACATGTTGAATTTGTTATGTACTTCAAAAGAATGACAAACTGTACCAGATAGAGACCGGCAGTTCCACATTTAATCCTCCTTTTCTCTTTTACTTTGCATGTGGTAATGACTATTTGGTAGGGACCATTTTAAGTGCAGATGAATTTAATTTAAAGGAGTTGGGAGGGACCCAGGTTTGAATCTAGTCTCTACAGCTAAAGTAGTTGTAGTTTTTGGAGCAAGTCATTTATGAGCCTCTCAGAATCTTTCTTTCCTCATCAGTGAAATGAATTAGAGAAACACACCAAGAAAGAGAGGGACATGGTTGCCTTAATTTGGCAAGTTAAAAGAGCAATAGCAGTAACTTTTAAGTTTACCAGTTGTTTTCACATACAGCATGTCATTTGATTCTCACAAACCACCACATGTGAGGTTGGCAGGCAGGTACTGACCCATATTACAGGTGAGGAAACTGACTTAAAGAAAGGAGGGCCATGACTTATTCACATAGCTGGTAAATGGTAGACCTAAGACTTAAAGAAAGGAGGGCCATGACTTATTCACATAGCTGGTAAATGGTAGACCTAAGACTTGAACCGAGACCTTCCGTCTCCCCAAGTTCAGCATCGTTCCCACTCTGTGTATTCCCTTCTCTCTCCCTCATGAACATTCCAATGAGGCAAAAGCCATAGGACTCCTTGTACTTGATTCTAGAATATGCAAGGAGTTCAATCCATTATCTTCCCCTCCCCCCCCCAAAATAGAATATAATCTTCTTGGTGAAAGGGATCATTTTGGTTTTGCCCTTTATGTCTCGTGCTTAGCATGGTGTTAGGTTCACGATGGGAGCTTAGGAATGGTTTCCAACAGAATAGAATATAATGCAACACTTGTGAGTCTGTATTTGTTCTTCTGTGTCTTCATTAAAAGACTCTCTCCTAATCGTATAGGATCCTGCTTTGCAAGAGCTGGAAAGCAATTTTGTCATACAGCAAAAACTGGTGGAAGCTGCCAAGAAACTTGCCAGTGAGCCAGACCTCTGCAAAAATGTAAAAAGAAAGCGGAAGCAAGAGTATGCAGATGCCGTAAAGAAGCTGCAGGAGATTGAGAATGCGATTAACGAATACCGAATTACATGTGGCAAGAAACCAAGTCAGAAAGCAACCCTCATTTTACCAGGTAAGCACCCAACAAGCCACAGCTGCATTGTTTTAAGTCTTCTAATGGGACTGTGTGAAGCCCTTGGCAGGTGGCTATTTCACATGGGCTGAAGGGTGGACAGAAGAAAAACTAGGCTGAACCGGAGACTTTGACAGGCCCAGAGAAAATAGATTTCAGAAGCCTCCAAGAATGTGGCCTGGTTAATTCAAATAAACCTGATTTTCCAGGGCCTTGTGATGCCATAATTTTGTCATCATTGGGTGGAATCAGTTTGACTTTCATGGACAAGCCTAGTTTTCATAGACAGATTCTTGCTTTGTGGGGTCATTCATGCCAGCCACAGCTTTTAATTCACAGAAGGGAAGCTGATTTGCGATGGGGCGCTGCTATAACTTGAGGATCTAAGTTGCAGACATTACCTAGTGCTCTCAGAAGTTTTTCATGCATGCATTTCCTTTTGAAACCTGCCCTAGAGACTTAGGTAGGGTGGGGTTTTGAACAAATTCCTTCTTTCTGTCATGACCAATTAATCAACCTTGAAGACAAAGGTTGCAATACCAACAAGAGTTCAGGTACATCAAATCTACCCAGGCGTATGGTTCCTAAAGCAGTTATTTATTGCTTTCTGATGACAGAGAATGTGAGAGAAAAGGAGCTTGCCAACCATATTCAGCTACAGCAGGAGAGTTTAGGAGGCTTGGCTCTAAATGATACATGAAGCAAAGGAGCTTGGTAAATTGGTCAACGGGGGAACTGCAAGTCTGGATTTTTATTCCAATCTCGTGTTCATTTTTACCTCTGTTATTTGATATAGTGCTGGAAATATTGGTGATTGTAAAATAAGAGAAGAAAAAAAATTGAGGGAGTGGCAAAGAAGAAACAAAATAATCACTTTTGGGGGGAGTGAGGCAATTGGGATTAAGTGATTTGCCTAGAGTCATACAGCTAGTAAATATCATGTGTCTGAGGTCAGATTTGAACTCAGGTCCTCCCGACTCCAAGGCTGGTACTCTATCCACTTCACCACCTACCTGCCTGAAATAATCACTTTTTTATGGGCAGATAAGATGCTTTACTTAGAGGACCCTAGAGAGCCAATGAAAACATTAATCAAAACATTCCAACCCTAAAAAATTTAAGTAATTCACCATGGGTTTGGCTTCTATATTCACTGTCTCATAGGGTTCTAGATGGTAAAGACCATATGTGCACACTTAAGCCAGGGAAGGCTCTGCCATTTTTGCAGATTTCAGATATCCAGGTAGACACTTTGTACACCAGATGGCGCAAGTATCTGAGCATATATAGGCTAAAGGGGGTTTTGTTGTTTTTGTTTTTTCTTTTTTTTTAAGAAAGAAAACTGGCTGTCAGACAGCTGACTAGTTTGGCATCAAAGGGCCTTTGGGCTCTAAGGCCTGCCTAATTAAGAAGAAAGACTGCATGGAATTAATCAAGATGAACATTTAAGGTGCTAGAGGTTCTCTTTATAGTGATTTTTAAATCGGGGCAGGTGCTCTTTGCCTCCCCACTTGGTGGTTCTTGTCAACCAAACAAGTACTCTCAGAAAAGGCACACTGCCTCTTCCAGATCTTTTTCATCAACTACAAACATCACTGAAGAGTTGTCTGTAAACTAGTCGACATTTTCCAGACTTGGGTGCTTTCCTTTGTCGATGGTGGGGCATGACCCTCCATTTCATGGTAGCAGAGTTGAGAAGAGACATTCTCTTGAAGAGATACTTTTACTTAGATGTACAGCAGATTTTTCAGTGACTACAGCTGCTACTAATATTAACAATATCCATTATTTACATGGTGCTTTAAGGTGGGCAAAGCCATTTACCTGTGTTAGCTGATTTGATCCTCACTAACCTTGAGGTGGATAAGGAAAACTGAGGCTGAGAGATTAATCAAATAGCAGAGACACACCAATCATGTCTTTTAGAGATCAGCCTGGTACAATCATCTCATTTTACAGACGAGGAACGAACCATGGTTGCAAAGAAGCGGCTTGCCCAAAGTCTCACAAATAATGAATGGAGTGGCAAAGCCAAAATTTGAACCCTGGCACTTCCAGCTCCAAATCCAATACTTTTGCCACTGAATCACATGGATTCCCTATAGCTTGTGAAATCACAAGCTATGATTATATAGGCAGCAAGGTAAAATGGAATGAGGGCTGAGTTTGGACTCAGGACTTTTTTGAGATCATGGGCCTGTCATTTCCTAGCTAGATGACCTTGGGCAAGTAACTTAACCTCCTGGGCCCCCAGTTTCCTCTTAGTAAAATGAGGTTGGATGAGATAGCCTTCTAGGTCCCTTTCAGCTCCAAGTTTATGATCTCCTAAGGTACATTCATCAAACTTAACAAAAGCAGGAGGAGAGCTTGGAATGACAGGTGCTAAAATGAAGGTGATGGGAATTATATTGCTTCATTTTGCAGTGTCTCGATGTTAAGCTTGATAATGACTTGCATTGGACTGGAGGGTGTCGGCTTGTACAAAGGATGGCAGGAGGGAGCCAAGATGGGAAACTGATGAAACGTTCACAATATGTAATTCAAGTTTCTTTTGTCATCACCACCCCCCACAAAAAAAAGTCTTGCATAGAAAACTTAAATAGCTAATTATTCTGACTGTGTTCATCTGAATAAAGAAAATGTTCCATTATAATTCACTAAATACATTCTATATTAAAAAATTCTTTTTTAAGAGATTCAATTTTCCTTCACAGAAGATATAATCCCATCCGAAAGCAGTTCTTTATCAGATACAACAACCTATGATGATGGTGAGTTGTTTTCCTTTTTGTGTGGGTTTTATTTTTTAAACTTAAAATCCAAATGTATCACCTTTTCTCCCTTTTAAATTCTGTTTGTTACTGAGATTTAGAAAATTCTGTCTCTTATATTCTCCCCTACAATAGAATATAGGCTACACATTTGAGGACGTGAACATTCTAGTTAATTGAGTATCCTGGTTATCTAATGGCTATGATATTTGTAGGTGATGATTTTTCAGAGAGTCAAAATACAGCAGAAAAAAAACCCAGACTTAATTTCAGTACGACAACGAACATGTTATGTTAAATACTTCTTAGATTTCCAAAGAATAGCAGCAGATCGTGCTATGTAGTATTTCTTGTTTTATAAAGCATTTCCCTCATGATGTTCCTAAAAGAAGGGAGATGTTCACGTGTCATTATTTCCCTTTTAACATAAGGAAACTGAGGCTCAGAGAGGTTGAGTGAGTTACCCAAGCATCAGATAGTCAATAACCATTTTCAGGATTTGAACCCAGGTCTTCTTTACTCCAGATGGTTCCCTACAGTTTGAAAATTGGTAATGCTCCTCTGGAGTCAGTCAGTAAGTAAGCATTTATTAAGTGCCTACTATGTACCAGGTACTTTCTAAGCACTGGGAATTCAAAGAAAGGCAAAAAAAAGTTTCTGCCCTCAAGGAATCCATAGTCTAATGGGGGAGACAGTATATGAACAGCTATGTACAGGCAAGTTATAGGAGATAAGTAGGAAGTAATGGACGGAAGGAAGGCACTAGAATTATGAGGGACTGGGAAAAAGTCAATCAGTTCTTTGTTTTAAAGGTAGCTAAATACAGTCCCAAGGGCATGTCGTTTCCCTGGCATGCCTTGCAGAGGTATTTGATTTGAAGGACCCCAAGATATGCTCTTGCCCAAAATGTCTCCCTCCTTGTCGGAGTTATTCTTTTAGTTCCTTCATCTTGGGGCTCCTCTTTCCCAATGAAGATAATCCAGAGAGGGATAGCACAATAAGTCACTCACTGCTTACTTTGTTTTTTGTCAGAGCCACTGGGACCACAGAAGGGCAGAAGCAGGGGAGGCATTTGGGCTGGTGAGGGAAGGATACAGAGAGAGGGATAAAGAACGGGAGGTAAAGGGTGAGAAGACCCAGCAAAGTCACCAGAATTGAATCTGTTCCTGGGTTTGGTTTGCTGGAATGTGATTGTATTTCCCCTCTTACATGCCTTCACTGCTCATCTATTCCAAAGGAGTGAGCACTTTTCTAGGAACTGACCTATTTAGTGATGAAAGAATGGTTTCAGGCCCGGGGGGGGGGGATGCTTTAGTATCTTTTCAACTGGAAACACCACCAACACTTTCCTCCCCCCAAAAAAAAATATATGTATATATCCTGTCTTGCTTTCTGAAGGAGGATGCCTTAACTTGGAAAGAATGTTTTCTTCGCTAGATCATCAGATACATTGCTTTTAGTTTTGCTTAAGAAATATTCTCATTTCCCACAGCCAATGATTCCTTCACCCTCCCTGCCCAACGGTCCAGTTCAGTTCCGCATTCTCCAAGAATTCCTCCACCCAAGTCGCTTGGTCTGGAGAGAATCCACTTCAGGAAGTCTTCCATGAATGAGCAGCTTATGGAAGGCCGGCAGTCCAGGTAAGAGGGTGGATGCCAGTCTGTTTCTATTACCAGTTCAACAAACTTCCCTTCGTACTTGCCACGTGGTCAGCACTGCCAGTATCAGCACCACTTTTGTATTCTGTGATATCCTTTTCTCCAAGAAGTTTAAAGCCTTTTCACCTTTGACCTTGCTTATCCTCACAGCAAGTAGTGTTATAATCCTACCCATTTCACAGGTGGAAAAGCTAAGGCCCAGTTACAAAGCTTTTATTTATTAACAGCAAATAGTGTTCTAAGGGAATTTTTTTATGGAATTTTTTTTTCTTTTTATCAAGCAGTTATTTTTTTTCTCCCTCCCACCTCCTACACACATATTGGGGGGAAAAAGAAAAAGAAAACCCTTATAACAAATATTCATTGGCAAGCAAAGCAAATTCTCATGTTGGCCACGTGCAAAAAAATGTGTCTCTCTGCACTTTAGTCCATTGCTTCTCTGGAAGGAAACGGGCAGCGCTCTAAGAAGCTTTTTTTTTTTAAGTGGTGTTTGGCTAACCGTGTCTTTGTTAAATTCCTTTTCATTTCTGTTGAAAGAATAGAAGAATTAAAAGAATTAAATAAAAATAAATAAAAGCATTAAAAGAATAATAAATATTGTCTGAGATTACCACCTGTTGTTTTTTCTTGAGGATAAGGACTATTGCAATTTTGCCTGAGTTCCTAGCTCTTAGAATCATGCCTGGTACTTGGTAGGTGCCTAATGGAGATTCCAAGAAATTTCTTGTTACAAAGTCCATTTTAGAAAGCCAAGTAAAGAAATCTGCCTGGTTCTGCAACCCAGATGTGCCATGTGGCTTAATCTCCTTTTTCTAGTCTCAAAAATGCTGGCTATAGCATGAGTGGACTTGGAGTCAGCAGGACCTGGGTTTGAATCCTACCTCAGCTATTGAATTCATTCATTCAACAAACATGCTCTTTTTAAACCTCAGTTCCATTTTTTTTATTATATCAAATTATATCATTATACTCAAATATACATACAAAATATATATATATATATATATATATAATATATATATATATATATATAAAAATCTCATTATATCATTATATCATTATACTCAAAGAAACATGTCCTGGAGACATTAACCTCCTCTTCTTAATACTCAGATGTGAACTCTTTGTAAAGTACTTTGTGACTCTTTATGTATAGGCCAGTATCTAAGATTTCTTTCTTTTTTCACCACCTCCAATCACAACCCATCCCTAACTTGGTTTCAATTCTTACGCAGTTATCTGAAGCTTACAAAAGTTAAGTGATTTTCTCTGGGGCACGTAGCTAAAGCTGGAATTTGAACCCAGGTCTGTCAGACTCCCAAGTCTAATATGTTCTTTGCTAGTCTGTTGTGCCTGTCTTGTAAATATAAAGTATTACATGTATGCAAGCTATTTTTTTGTTCTTTAATATTCATTTAGCGGCCCACCGAATAAAACAAAGTAAGGCTCTTTCTTTTTAGCATCCCTTCAGTTTCCTATGGACACTGGTAGGTTTAGTATTAACTGCCAATTTGGTTATCAAAGATATACAAAGCCAACCATTAACTGAATACTCTTCTTTTTTTCCAGAGAAATATTGTCAACACACAGCAGTCCCTATAGGACTCTGGAGAGGCGTCCCCAGGGAGGCAGAAGCATGCCGACCACCCCTGTTCTCACCCGAAATGCCTACAGCAGTAGCCATTTAGAGTAAGAGCTAAATGTGGATTGATTTGGGTTTTATTTGAAGGGGACAAAAAGGGAGTTGCTGTCTTTAAACCAGGAGGAGCATGAATCTTATTTATAAAAAAATGAGGATAGTCATTGTTCTATTTTGACCTATATTCATGGATTGATCTTTTTTTTAAGACGATCATTTTATATCCTTTTGCAAAGAGAATGCCTCCATATTTTTCCAGTAGTGTATCAGACCTTTTTGTATGTCTGTTACTTCTTACCACCCAGATAAATAGCATAGCATTTCCCAGAAGAAACAGAAAAACAGACCAAAACCAGATTGGAAGTTTATAGCCTCGCTCCTTAATTTTTGACCTAGAAAGACTGAGCTCCAGGTAGTAGCTGGAATTTTTTTTTTTCATTTTCCTAGGGAGGTTGGATATCATCAGCCGAACTTCCCCATTCCTAGAAAGAGAATTTGGATCATACATTTTTCTGGAGCCTGGCCTTTCTTTGGAGTTCTTCCTTTGCCTGGGAGGAGTGCAACAGTAGAGATGAACTCTCACAACTGGCCTTTGTGTTTTGGAGTATTGTGAGAAAGGGAGCTCAGTTTAAAATCGGGACCTTGAGGTTCAAATGGTGCCACTTGCTGGCTATAGACCTTTGACAAGTTCCTCCCTGCTCTGTGAAATGAGGAAGTTGGAGTGGATGATCTCTAAATTAACTTCCAGCTCCAAATCTTTGATCCTAACATTTATTTTAGCTTTGAGAATAGACTATTATTTTTAAATACCATGAAAAGTTATTAAAATTATAAAATTTATTATGTGGTATTATAAATAATTTATCACCTCTGAATGCAAATATATTATAGGATAATATGAAATTCTAAGATATTATGAAAATGAAATATTTTTAAAATAAAGAAATAGGAAGTTGAAACTCTAGACTTGGTATTAAATCTCTCGATTTTATCCTTCATGGTCATTTTTTTTGACAAGTCTAATTTTCATCACTCCTAGGCCTGACTCTTCCCCACAACACTGCAGGCAGAGGAGTGGAAGTCTGGAGTCTCAGACCCATCTGCTCTCTGAACTCGATGGTGACAAGCCATTCTTTTCCCTTTCCAAATCCCAAAGAAGTAGCAGCACAGAAATCCTGGATGACGGCTCATCCTACACTAGCCAGTCAAGTGCAGAATATTACTGTGTGACCCCCAGTGGGGGTCCCTACTATGCCACACAAACTCTTGACACTCGAGCGAGGGGCCGGAGGAGGTCCAAAAAGCACCACGTCTCCACATCCAATTCTGGGAGCATGCCCAATCTGGCCCCAAAAGACATGAGAAATGGCGGCTATCCCAAGAGTCAAGAGCAGCCTTCTTGCAGCTACTTTATCTCTGGGTACCCGCCGTATGCTGACTGTGATCTTTATTATAGCGGAGGTTACATTTATGAGAATGACACGGAGGGTCAGTACAGCGTCAACCCTTCCTACCGCTCATCAGCACACTATGGGTACGACCGTCACAAGGAGTACAGGTCCTACCATGAAGATGAGATGGACCGAGTGCCCCATAACCCGTATGCAACTCTCCGACTGCCCAGGAAGGCACCCGTGAAATCTGAGCACATCACCAAAAACATTCACAAGGCCTTAGTAGCAGAGCACCTTCGCGGCTGGTACCAGCGAGCCTCAGGACACAAAGACTTGGGTCACAGCTTGCAGGCAAGCTTGGATTCAGACCGAGGCTCACAAAGAAGTCTCGGGTTCTCTGCTCTGCAGCTACCCTGCTCCCCAAGCAGCCGAGCTTCTTCCTACACTTCAGGTAATGGAGGAGTTGGGCATGGGGGGGGGGGCTTTTTTTTTTAAAGCCAAAGAAAATGAATAGATTTGGAACCAGCGATGCGAAGCAGTGCAGGGCTGGTGACCTGTAGTTTAGTCCCAGCCCCAGTGCTTCCTCATAGGGTCCCAAATTTAAAGCCAGAAGGGACCTTAAAAGACATCCAGTCCCAATTAAAATCTCATCTTCTGCAGGAAACCTTTCCAACCCCTCTTAATTCTAGTGCCTTCCTCCTGTTGATTACTTCCTACTCGTCCTGTCGCTAGATTGCACACAGCTGTTTGCTCGTTGTCTCCGAAATTACAGTGAGAGCTCCTTGATGGGAGGGACTGGTTTGTTTTTTCATTTTTGTTTTCGTTTTTGCGTTCCTTTGTATCCCCTGGGCTCAGCACGGTGCTTGGCACATAGTAGGTGCTTAATAAATATTTGCTGATTGATTTAGCACAATTTAGGAAACTGAGGCCCCAGTGGTCAAGTTACCTGCCCAAGGTTACACAGACAGTAAACAGAAGAGTTGAGACTCAAACCCAGGTCCTCTGGCCTTAGACTCAGTGCCCTTTCCACTGCTGCTTCCTTTATTCTTTCTGTGTGCTTGAGCTGATCCACTCCTGGCCTCAGTTTCCACATTAGGGAGATGAATGGGGTTGGATCAGTTGATCTCACAAGTTATCTTTGAGCTCTACAATTTTGTGGGTCTGGGCAGGACTCAATCTTAATTCATTTAAACACATATTTAAGCATCTTGTTCAGGGCAAAAACCGGAAGCATTTTAGTTGGTCTGTGCTATGCCCAAGGAAGGCACTGTCCTTTGAGCAGAGGCTAGGAAGACAAAGATGAAGGAATCGTTCCCTGCCTTTAAGAAACTTAAATTCTAATGGAGAGTAAATAACATGTAAACAGATGAGTAAATGCAGATAACAAGGTGTAAAAAATTTCTAACACCACATAGACCCAGTTGAGTAAATTGTAGAGAGAAAGTGCACTGGTGGGATTAGGGAAGGTTTTGCCTAGAAGGTGGGGCCTGAGATGAACTTCAAAAGAAGTTGAGGTCTCTAAGGAGCAGAGCTGAAGAGAGAGTGTATTCCAGGCAGGAGGCACAGCCTTTGAAAAATGCTGAGGTGGGATGGGATACCACACTCAAGGAACAGAAAGTAAGTAAGCAGGCTTGCTTAGAGTTTAGAGATTGTGAAAGGGAGTTAAGTGAAATGAGCCTTGAAAGGGAGATTACGACTGCCTTTAAAAGACAGGCTGAGGAATTTGTAGTTTATCCTTGGGCAGGTAGGTGGCGCCATAGTGCGCAAGAGTGCTGGGACTGATGTCTGGAAGACTTCCTGAGCTGAAATCTGACCTCAAACACTTACTACCTGGGTGACTCTGGCCAGGTTACTTCACCCTGTTTTCCTCAGTTTCCTCATCTGTAAAATGAGCTGGAGAAAGAAATGGCAAATCACTCTTAGAATGGGGGACAGAACATACCAAAGACAGAGACAGGAGAGAGCAGGATGAGAAGCTTCTTATTATCCTGTATGGTTGGAATATAGAGTCTGAGAAGGTGTGAAATTGGACTGGAAAGGCAGGTAGCTTGGAGTTGGATGTTGTCCCCTTGATGCCTTCAGTCAATCAATGAGCATTAAATAATCACCTACTGTGTGCTTTCAAAAATTAGACAGACTCTTCCCTCAAGGAGATTACATTCTATTGGTAAACCATGTACAAAATAGATGCCAAATAATCTGGGAAGAGGAAGGCAGTAGTATCAGAGAGAAGAGAAGAAGGGTGCTATATTTTATTTTTCGGGCCTGCTCCCAGTGACTTCGATGATTTAGGGAATTCTTGGTAATGAAACTCCCTCTACCGATGCAAATCAGTACCTATTCCACAAATAATCACCTTGGAGGGCTGAGGCTAAGAACTTACCTAGAATGGCGCATCCAGTAGGTTACAGAAGGAGGTTTTGAACCATGGTCTTCTTGAGTCCAAGGCCAACTCTGCCCACGAGGCCATGCCAGCATTTGAGCTTATATTTTATTCTGTAGGTGTTGAGTGATCATACCTCTCCATCCTTGGGACATGAGAGCCATCTGAGGTCCAAATTTGCAAAGACCAAAACCAATGATGTGTATTTCCTTTCCTGGGCTAAAGGGACCTTTACTAGATATTCCCAATTGTGCATCACAACTATATTTCAAAATTGTTACCAGCAGCACTTTTTCAGCATTCTGTGACATCCCTCCTCCCAAACCCCTCATTTTAAGGACCAAGGAGCCTTCTTGTCTCTTTCTCAGATTTATATGAAGCCTGCCTTTTGTAAAGCTCCCGATTCTATATGAATGAGGCAGTAGGCAAAGGGAGAACATTTTCTAGACGTTTTTCAAGAGGTTCATTAATCCATGGTTGAAATTGATGGGGGGGGCAGGGAGTCAAGGAGTTAGGTGGGGATGGGTAATGGTGAGACCAGGCCAGGGCAGGGAACAAGAACTCCAACAAATCCCAGTAGTTCTGGCCAAAGTTGTAGCAAAGTGGGGCAATGGTGAGTTGTCAGGTCTGACAACCTGAATAGGAATTAGGCTGCTTTCTGTTACCTGTTTCTGAGTGGTTTGTGGCTTCCTCATTCACCAGGCTTGGTCACTCATTAAAAAAAATAAGACTTTTTTCATTGTTATTAGGAATGAGACCACATAGCTGCAAATCCTAATTATACTGAAAACTTCTTTTTAAAGTATGGTCCTATTGAACTTTCTGTGCTTGAGGGTAGAGACCATTGAGGGCTTATTTTGTTTGTCTTTGTATTCTTTAGGCTTGGCAGAGTGCCTGGCATATACTAAGGGCTTAATAAATGCTTATTAATTAAATTAAATTACATGAAAAATAAACTGAAAGAACGGTTGACATCATCACGCCAGCCACTGACAGTGGCTGAAAAAAGCATTTGCTATTCATTTGAAATGAAAAATCAAAATGCTATTTCTTATCCTTTAAGACAAATGTTCTTGACCTAAGGTCCAGGAGCTCATGGCTAGATCTCAGGAGGTCTGTGAAAAAAAAAAACCATAATTACTTATTATTTATTTATACTAACTTCTAAATGAAATTTAGCATTTCTTTAAATTATTTAAAAACTTTGTTTGGAGACAGGGTCACAGGCTTCATCAGGCTACCTAAGCACAAAAAAAGGTTCAGAACCCCGATTTTAAAAGAATGTTCTAGCAGGCAGGTAAAGAGCTTCATTTTTCAAGTAAAGATAACAAAACGTGTATCCTTAGCTCCCAGTCATTTGGGTGTTTACTAGTTGTAGTTTAGTGGCTGACCCAGATCCCTGGGCTGATCTCTGGAGACAGAGCTTTTATCACACCCCCGGGGCTGTTGGTATTGCTTCTATTGCCTTCCCCAGAGTTATTTGATCTACGTGTCCTAGAAACCAATCAATCAACCTCAGAGTTTTTATTAGACACATCCTAAGCACTGGGCACTACACTTGGTGCTGAGGATATAGGAACAGAAATAAAAGTCCCTGCCCTGGAGGAGTTTCCATACTATCAGCATCCCCTGATAAAGGGGACTGACCTCTTTAAAAACGGTATCTGCGCACAATGGAATGAAGGAATGAAAAAGCATTTCTTAAGCACTTACTCCATGCCAAGCACTGTGGTAGGCATTGGTGATTAAAAATAGAAAAGCAAAGGAGTCAAGGAGGTCATGTTCTAATGGAGGGGACAACAGGCTCTGCTGATGGGTGTTTTCTCCATCTTGCCAGAAGGATTGTCTTGGAGACTCCCTCATCAAATAAGTCGTTGTAAATGGCCATAGTGGGCTGAGGGTGGAGGGGCTGCCCAAGAGGCAGAGTGGAGCAGGGACACCAGGGACAAGTTGGCATCCAACTGGAAGGAGGGAAGGTGGTGTTGATGATAGGGTTAGGCAGCCAATGGCCTTTATTTAAACTGGGAAGGAAGCTATGGATTCTTAAGAGGCAGCGGGGGAGGAGACGTCCCAGGCACAGAGAGCCTACCCTATGCAGAGGCCTGGAGATGGGAAATGAAATACTGTGTGAAGAACATTAAGCAGCAACATTCTTATCCTTTCATTTTTCAGTCATTTTTTTCAGTTGTGTTAGACTCTTTGTGACCCTATTTAGAGTTTTCTTGCAGAGATACTGGAGTGGTTTGCTGTTGCCTTCTCCATCTCATTTTACAGATGAGGAAACTGAAGCAAACAGAGTTAAATACTTGCCCAGGGTCACACAGCCAGTAAGTGTCTGAGGCCATATTTGAACTTGAGTTCAGGAGTTCCTGACTCCAGGCCTGCCACTTTATCCTCTGCGCCACCTGGTTGCCTTGTTAATTATCATCATCATTCTTCTTCTTCTTCTTTCTTCTTCTTCTTATTCTTATTATTATCTTATTCTTATTATTATTATTTATTATTATTATTATTATCCTTTCATTACCTACAAAAGGAGATCAGCGATCAATCACCTCATCTAACTCTTTCATTTTATAGTTGAAGAAACAGGCCCAGGGAGAGTAATGGCTCACTTGGGCTCATGCAGCCAGATAGTTGTGCTAAGATTCAAAGGACATGCCAGGCAAATGTGGGCATCCACACACATCCTTCTCAACAGTCAGAGCTTCAAAACTCTTCTAAGTCATGTCGGTTCCATTTGGGGTTATATTTAGGGTAGTCATCAGTAACATTAGAGTAATCTGTCAAACTGCCCTAAGCACTGGAGATAGAAAGAAACAAACAGTCCCTGCCCTCAAGGAGCTTCCAGTCCGATGGGAAAAGCAACATGAAAATATTATGCACGTACAGAAAAAACAGTGCAGTGGAAAGTAGTTTAAGAGGGAAGAGGCTGGAGAGCAGGAGACAAGATGGTAAGATGACTGTGTGGTCCTAACACCGATGAGCTCTTTGGGTCAGCAGGTCCATCGCAGGCATGGAGGAAAACTGGTTTGGTAGAATGCCTCATAGCTACCCCTGAAGCCCAGGATTACTTCAGTCCTCCAGGTTGTTTCTCATTCCAGTTTACTCCTGTTGAGATGAAATCTTCTCACCTCTGATCCCTCCCTATTTGGCCACCTGGACTAGGTAGGAGGCAGGCTATAAAATTCAGAAAAGGTCAGATTTCTTCACTGAGTATATTATTACTTTGAGGGGGTTACAAAATAATAACTAGTTGTGCCACCCCACTTTGCATAGTGATTCTCTCAAAAGAAATGAATCAGAGGGCCTCTTATGCATTTATCCTCCTCGGAACATCTGGATGGGGCAAGAAGTGAATGTCATCATTCCTACGTTCTTGACGGAATGAAGACGTGCTACATTCTTGAGTGGGCAGCTTCTTCCACCTCGTAAGAAGCTGCCTGTGATTTGAACTTTTGGAGGCCGTCTATTCTGTGGTGTGGCCTCCTCTGCCCCACCCCACTCTGATTAGTGCAGGGACCTGGGAATTGGAGCAAGGTGCCTTCAGGAAAAAGTTCGGGTGCACGCCATTTCTTGACCTCTTTGCTGACTCAACAAGTCATTTTCATGTTTCTTTGTTGTTTCTTCCTAGTGTCTTCCACAAGTGCGTCCGGGAACTGGAGGACCCAATTAACTTTAGGGTTGGCTGATCCCCTCTCACATTCTTCTTACGCCAGCTGCTACGGCAATGTCTACAGTCCTTTGCCACCTCCAAGCAGGTGAGAATAGTTGAATAGTTACTCTAAGCTTCCTAGTAATCTTCCCCAGAACTGAAGACCTCAGCTCATGGCTATATCATATTCCTAACTTTTTGAGAAAAAGATTTCTAGGCTATGCTAGTAGGAACCTACAAGTATGCTGAATGTTTTTCTTTGTGTATGTAGAATAATATTGTACCTATTGAATTACAGAGTTATTTTTTACCCTAGCCCTGCCCCACAATAGCTTACATGCTACGGCATAATTGCAGTAGATGTTCACATAGTGCTTTACAATTTACAAAGCTCTTTACACACAGGATCTCCTAGAAGCTTCATAACAACCCTTTGGGATAGGTACTACAGGTATTTTGTATTCCTCACCTGTGTTTTCATCAGTATTTCAGTATGGAAACTCTACCAATACAGACGTGTAACTTGTTAGGACTCATCTGTAACTTGAGTCTCAGAGGGTAAATTTCATCACTGAGAAGTTAAGTAACTTTCCCATGGCCATGCAGCCTAATATGTCAAAGGCAGGACTCAAAAACCCGGGGATTACTAGCTGTGTGACCCTGGGCAAATCATTTTACCCCAACTGCCTCAACAAAAACCCCAAAGGTTTTTTGTGTAACTTTTTACTTTTTAAATTTTCATTTAAAAATGCTGAACCCAATAAGCATTTCTATATGCACACGAGAACAGAGGGATTAAATTGTATTTTAAAATTAAATTATCTTTGCAAGCCTTGAAGTGCTGTATAAATGCTAGCTATTATTGTTTTTAATAAATTAAAAATAAATGAAATTAAAGCAATTTATTAAAAGTAGATGGCAAAGATCTCAATTCCAAAGGAGCCCTCTTGTTACCAGAATTCCTGTTAGACAGTTGGCAAGCTTAATTTCAAGCAAATGCTAGTGTTTATTTCTGGCTTGAACCTGCTTCCTCAAAGAAGTGACAGAAGCAACCAGCTGTCAATCAACCTTAAAGCCAAGCTTTCGTAAGCGTTCAGAGAAACACAAAAGGAGTCACAAAGGCAGGTGAGTTGGTTGGTTGGTGTTCATTATTCAGTGTGTGTGCTTTTAGTGACACAGAGAGCCACCAGTGAAGAGACTCCCCCGTTAATGTAGGTCAGCACCTCAGCAACTTACAGGCTTAGAATTACGCTTTCTACACCAGGTCTTCACTGGCAAAGTAGAGAGTGAACTGAGTGTATTCCATGGAATCAAGTCTAAAAGGATTTTTATTCCCAGCACAGAGTCAGCAATTCTCATTCACAAGTATGAGATCAGTCATCTCAACTCAACAGTTTGCTCAAATGAGAATTTTAATGAAAATGTATCTCAGAGGAAGTCAGAAAGTTTAGACAGCAACAAGTGATGCTTAAAACAGAGCAGGAATAAAAAGCAGCACCCTGAACTTGGGCCCAGAATTTGAACTTCTCCTTTTTCTCCCCCAAAGGAAGGATGTTCTAACCAGTTTGGACTGGGTTTTCACAAATAATTTTCATATTTGGGGGTGTCTTACTTGCCCTTCAGGCTCACTCAGTGAAGACATATGCAACAAATTTTTAGACATTTGTGACATCTTAGACATAAATCTTGTCAGAGCCAGGAAATACTTTTTTTCCCCCTGAGAGAACCTGTTCATTTAAGATTGTTCATGTAATTCAGCCTGTGATGCCCTAATAAAGGAGGTTGACCTTTTGAAAAGAAGCAAGTTTAACTGGAAATTAGAAGCTATTGCCAGGATCCTCATCGATTTGTTATATAGCTACATACCTACATGGGTTACTAAGACCATCTGATTTGCTTAACTCCCACTATCTAAGAGAATATATGGTACATAATAATAAAAGGAGGTGCTTGAGAAAACTGCCCTTTGGAAGGCTGATGGTTGTAAACATGTGAAATTTTCCCAAACAGTCACAATTTTAAAACTAAGAAACGCAATATTTTCCCAGAAGAAAGAAGCCTCACTGAACTGTTTGGTTGATTAAACTTTTTCATGATTTTGCAAGCTGAAAGGGGTGCTTGAAATTCTTACCACCAATTTCAGTAAATTGAGTACATGATCCTTAGGGAATCAAGGCCATTCCAATTCTCCATTGGATTTGTGTTATCATCCGTGGCATGGTAGTCTACCAATGTAGATTAAATCTCAGTTATACTTTTTGATATTCTTGGGACAGAGAGATGTGAAGGGGACATGGACATATTTCTCCAAGCTAGAATGGGCTTGGATAGCTTAATGATACATATAAAATAAAGTTCTGGAAGACTGGCGCCTAGATGCAGAGTACAGTGTTCATTTGAATTTTCTTTGGCACTGCCTGTGTGACCTTGGTCAAGTCACTGAACTTGGACTCAATTTACCTCATCTGTAACACTGACTCTAAGTCAGTGACCCTCTGTTGTGCTATAGTCCAGTTCCTAGCCCTGTGGGCCTAAGTTGGTGTTGTTTTTCTTCTTACTTCAAGCGACTCTTCTTTCACTTCCTGTTTTCCGTTTCCCTTTTTTCCTGTCCAACATCACCTGTCACTAGGCAGAACAAAGAGCTTCTGTCCAGGCGAATGGTGGTATCTGCAGAAATGAGCTCATTTTTAAATTCTCTTATGCTCAGTATAGCCAGCGGTAGTAAGTACAGCATTTTCCATTTGTGTGCCTTGCTTCATGTGTGACAGATCTGTTTGCTGTTGATAATAAATAGTGTGTGAAATTGGGGAATAGATGCCTATGCTGTTGTTTCAATGTCCAGGGAAACACTCAACAAGTTGGTGAAAATAGCATATTTTCCCCTTGATGTGCTTCAAAAAAGTTTTTCTCCCCTTCTCTGTAAGGTGTGGAAATAAACATAAAGTGAATTTTTGCTACTAATCCCCTAACCTTCTAATATTTTTGTGCCACTGTAAAGGTTTACCTTATTGGAATGCATCATGGTGGTGGGGGTGGAGGGGGCAGCATCATTTCATCTGCCTGGGGCTTTCTAATTCAGTGCCGCTGGCTAGGAAACTATAGTTAGATATGCCAAAGGTTAAAAGAGAAGTGGGAAGGAACCTATGTCTTCACCTGATATGGGCCCATAACTTCGTAATGCGCATTGAATTTTAAAATGTTATTTCTACTAACTATCTTTGGTTTTTCTACTAATTTTCCTTCTTATTTTTCTGTAGTTTAAAAGTACATATAGACATGATCCCAGGCATTGACTTTTACTGCATTTCTTTTTATAGACAGTATGCCGAGGCCAGTCAACTGGACAGTACAAATGGGAGCCGGCTGGAAAACAACATGGACAGTAACGAACAGAGGCTCTTTTGGCACGAAGATTCGAAGCCTGGAACATTAGTCTGAACTGCCACCTTGAGCGCTTTTGTTCAAGCTGTGCATTCTAACCCCAGTGTGCCTTGCCCAGTGTGCTGTTCTTATGAAAAGAAATCTTCTTCAGAGATTCCCCAAATATCAGAAGCCAGAGAAGACTTGAATCTTCAGAGTCCACAGACACCAATTTTTTTGTTTTCTTTTAAAGAGAAACATCCACCGCCGTCACCACCACCACCAAAAAGCCCATGACTCGCTCCTCGAACTCCACGTGGTTGGCGTTCCATGTTTTGGTGGCGTCTTTTTGTTGCATTTTTTTTAACCCTCGACAAGTTCGAGAACTTGGTTGAAGTATTTATGTTGAAGAAGCACTTTTTAGGTGTTGTAGGCTAAACTGCAGATCAAAAGGCGGGGACTCTTTTCAAGAGAAAGCGAGAGTTTTCAGAGCACAATTCAGATGGACAAATGGAAGAAAAGTAACATGACTTTTTTTTTTCAGGCATGAACTCATAATGACAAATATATGGATTCATGAGTTCATGAAGTATCCCATACAGACACGTGAGGACTGGCAGATTTTAGACAGTATTGGAAAACTTACTTGAAGGAAGGCTGGATTTCAATGGGTTTCAATGTTTTTAAGGCAATGTACAGAGTGACATTTTTTGCCAGCACCATGAAGTGGATTCTGAGGGGGGGTGGGACGGGAATGACAGGTGAGGGAGGGAGGTCCAAGCGAGGCTTCGGAGTTTCCGTCAGAGCCTCAACTATGACTCTTTCTTCATGGTAGCAGAATTGGGAGATGAAGCAATATGTTGAATTATTTACGAATGTGCTTTGTGCATTTCCAAAGGTACCATTTCACTGTGCCTGTGAGCTCGTTTGTCACACCGAGCTGCATGGTGAACAACTGTTTGATTGGTATGATCCCATTGGGCTACCGTACTTCATGGCCACTGGGCTAGGGATTGCTTCCACTGTCATAAAGTTCTAAAGAGAACACACTGTGATGGCCAATATTTTAAGGTGATGCAAAAAAAAAAACCCAACATTCAGAACAACTGTGCCTTACGATTGTGGGCATTAGACTTGAGCACTATTGTCTGAGTGCTAGGTGCGATTCTAGGTCACCAAGTGACGTCAATAAGAGTGCTCCTTAAAAATAACACTACAAGTGAGCTCCACGATGCGGTTGCCCGAATTATGAGGCTAAAAGCTACCTCGCATTTTCTTTGGAGGAACAGATAGAGGCGATGCAGGATTTTTCAGAAGCATTTGCTTCCCTTGTTTATGAAAAGGATTCTCATTGCTCATCTCTACTGCGCTTCAGAATCCCATCTAAGGTGCTCTGGTGTTTTGTTTTCTTTTTATACAGATGATTAGTAACTCCTTGTGTATATTGTGAATAGAAAAATTTCTGACTGACTTTTTTGAACATTTTTTACCTATATCCCAAAGCATGTAATATATACACAAAGATGGATTTGTTAAACTGGTCCTTAGTCATTTGTATCATTAGAAATGAAGTTTTGTTTTGTTTTGTTTTATTTTGGGGGGAGTAGAGAATTAAAACAGAAGAATTAACTTAATTCCTTTTTTGCATATTTGTATAATGCGCTAGAAACAGAAATGCCCTTTTGCATATCGTTTTTCCTATTCTGACTTTAAAGACCTATTATTTTCACATAGGTCAATAAACTGAAAGTGTGCTATTGAAAATGTGCAAGTATTTGTCCCTTTTTGATCAAGGTTAGGAAGGGGCCACTGAAATTCTTGTTTTGAGTCAGCATCCCAAGTCAGATTTCCCCAGGTTCAAATGCCACCCCAGACACGTGACCTTCGTGACTTTGGGCACATTTTTTAAACCTCTCTGCCTTACTTTCCTGCAAGATGAAGAAATTGGACCAAAGTCCCTTCCAGCCCTTGATCAAAGAACCCATGGTGGCCATTTTGGACCCCTTGATCTGAGGAGTTTTGTGTCTTTTGTGGGAACTAGCAATTGTAGTTAGTATGACTGGCGACAAAGACAGAAATCTAATAGGATCTTAAACTTGGTGAGGGAGAGTGTAGCTTAGTGTGTAGAGAGCCAGCCTTGGAACCAGGAAGACCTCCGACACATCCTGGCTGTGTGACCTTGGATAGGTCTCCTGACCTCTCAATGCTCTAAGCAACAACCTAAGACTAAATTGCAAAGGAGAGGCTGGCCTACAAAGGGAAACGGATAAAGGGAGTTTTCTCATCCGGGGAGTTTTCTACATGAAGGAAATACTCAGTCCAATTCCTTTCCCTATACTTAGGGAAAAAAGACTGGGAAAAGATGTTGAGGGACTTATGACTGGGACAGTAACTAGCCCTAGGCAAAAAGGACTTTGTCCAGGGCGCTAAGATGTATTTGGGTGCAGCTATGCTTTCTCTCCCTACCTCTCCTTGTGGTCTTCCCTTTACCACCACTCACCCCACCCAACCTCTAAGGAGTGAAGTGAAGTTCTGATTCTGTAAGAAGGTATGCATGACCTGATTGCACTGAATGAACTGTCCTTTGGGAATTCCAGTGGTTAGAGTCCAGCGCAAGCTATGGTCTGCCAAAAATCATAGCATAAGAGTTACAGAGTTACTTGGGGATTATCCAGTCCAACTTTCTTGTTTTGTGTACACATGAGGAAACTGAAGCTCGGGGGTTATGTGACTTGCCCAGGGTTATTCAGTGTCTGAAGCAAGACTTGAACCCAGGTCTTCTGTCCACAAATCCAGCATCATTCTGCTGTTCAGTAAGTATGGACATGTCTTATTATCATGAGAATAGACTGAAGAATTTTCCCCCTGTGGAAACATAACCATAGGAATGGGAACACAGAAAACCTGCTTGGTAATTTGGCTATCTTCTAAAATGTGATGGTGTCAAACACATTTTTATGTGCCTATTATAAAGTTAAAATGACAGAAGACAAAGATGGTGTTGCAAGCCTCAGTTTCTTCATGTGCAAACTGAGAGGGTTACACCAGATGACCCAAAGTTTCTTCTGTTTTACAGCTAGGAGTCTCTTGTCTAGCCTTCTATCCACTAAGCTGCACGGCCTCTCTGGGAAGAGTCATCCCAGCTATGTCTATATTCATTGAATAAATACCATCTAGTAATGAAGCTCATAAATCACATTTCTATTATAAGGATAACGAACAAAACATTTTTTATTTACAAACGAAGACAGCACAGGTAATTTGCTACATCCAGCCCATTACTTGTTCTTGAAGATAAGTATAATTTAAATGTAGTATGTTGGGAGAGGGGAATGGGGGAGGGGAGAAGGGGAGAGGACGGGTTGTTTAAAAAGCTTTGGGCTTAGAGCTTAGATACTTAACTATAATTATTGTATAATAATAATATAATGGTAAAGCATAGTGCCTGGCACATAGTAGGCACCATATAAATGTTAGTTGTTATTATGATTAAAGGACCGGTAATTTGGTTGGGGTGGGTCCCTCCCCCCACTCTTACCGAACACCACCCCTCTGTAACTTCATAGTTGACCTTTGAGAGCTGCTGTGACCACTCAAATGCATTACCCTGAAGGCAATGGGCACTGGGGCTGACAAGAGAGAGGCGGCCATCACCCTTTCCACCTTGGTCAGAACTTAGACTCCGCTGACACAGCCTTTGAGAGCCCAAGGTCACCTCCATGCCATCACTGTCCAGTCAGTCTTCCGTTCAACTATCAAAGTCGCCCTCCAAACACTCACACAACTACACCACTCCTCAGCTCAGAAACCTTCCCAGGCATATTTCCCATTACTTCCTTTTATGTATTCTTTTTTGGCAAAATTGATCTGTTGGCTAGCTCCCAAACTCAACATTTCAGCTCCAGACCCTGTATCTTTGCACAGATGGAGGCCATGCCTTGAATATACTCCTTCTTCGCCTCCACCTCTTAAAATCTCAAGCTTTGGTCAATGCTTCGCCCAGATGTCCCTTCATGGTTAGTCTTTCCAAAGCCCTTCGTTCGTGGGGTCTTAATCTTTCATCCAGTTTGGCAAACCTAACCCTGTCGGCCCCTTCTCAGAATAATATTTTAAAATGCACAAAACAAAATACATAGATTGAAAAATGCAACCAGTTATCTTGAAGTACAATTATCTGAGTATATCTTTTTTAAAGTACACAGACCCCAGATCAAGAACCCCTGCCCTAGTGTATACTCTTGTCTATTTACATATTCCACCCCCCACCCTCACTCCCATGTAGAATATAAGATTCTTGACCACAGGGACTGTTCCATTTTTGTCTTGCTACCCCCAGCACTTATCATAGTGCTTTGTATACAGTAAACATCTAATAAATGCTTGTTGGATTATATCATCTAGATGAGGCACAGAAGAAGAGTTTTTCTGGAGGAGTCCAATTATCAGGTAAAGAGCTAAAAGGGCACTGCAGAGCTCTCTTCCAACCTTACACACACACACACACACACACACACACACACACACATGCACCCCTTTTTTATGCATAGAAAACTGAGGCCCAGCAAAAAGTTGATCGGCCAAAAGACCTAAGTAGCTGAAAAGGTATTTAGATGCCCATTCCCAAATTACTCCTACAACACAGAATCTTGATTTGATGGTCAACTGGCCAGCTCCCTACCAGGAAGGGAGGGAATAAACATTTCTATAGTATCTACCACGTGCCAGGCACTGTGCTAAGCACTTTACAAATATTATCTCATTTGATCCTTACAACAACCCTGGGAGGTAGGTGCTATTATTAGCCCCATTTTACAGATGAGTAAACAGGCAGGTTAAGTGACTTGTTCAGGGTCACCCAGCTATTAAGTGTCTGAGGCTGGATTTGAACTCAGGTCCTCCTCAGTCCAGGCCCATTGTTCCATAAACCGCACCACCAGATTGGATCACGCATTGATTTCTGCACTCAAGAGTCATCAACATAAATTTTAAAAATTGAGTTATTTTATGATCAACATAGCTTTTTTTCCACACCATTACATTACCCTAAGCAATATCATTGCACTCTTAACAAAATATTGATCATAGCTCCAGGAAAGGGAACTTGCTATAAAAGGGGTTTGGGTTAAAATAGTCTAGACCATTCTCAGTTGGAACTCATCCACATCTCAGATGTGTCTCTCCAGGTTCACTCCCTTTGTTTCGAGGCAGCTAGGTGGTGCAGTGGCTGGAGCACTGGGCTTAGAGTCAGGACGACCTGAGTTCAAATCCATCTCAGACACTTAATAGCTGTGTGACCCTGAGTCACTCAACTGATTCTGATTTCTCTACTGATTCTGTTTTCTCTACTGTAATATGGACTTGATAAGAGCACCTACCTCCCAGAGTTGTTATGAAGATAAAGGGAGCTAATATTTAGCGTAGCCCAGCGTCCAGCGCGTAATAGGTGTTTAATAAATGCTTGTTTCTCTTCCCCTGTAATGGAGTAGCTGCATAATAATAGGTGGGATGCAGGAGAGAGTGGGTAGGATGTGCCCTACTGTAGACTAGAATTCCAGTCTGGCCTCACACCCTTACCAGCTGCGTGACCATGATGAGCCAGACACTTTTTTTCAAAGCCCCAGCTTCCTCATCTGTGAAATGGGGACGATGACCTACTCTATCTCAGAGGTGTTAAGAAGAAAACATTTTGCCACCTTGTAAAGCACCATATAAATAAGAGTCATCAAAGGAAGCCACCACCCTTCCCCATTCTCTTCCAAAAATAAGAGAATTAAGGCATGATTACAGTCCTTCTAGCAAATTGTCATCATCTAGAAAAAATGCAGATTTGTAAAGCATTTAGCACAGTGCCAGGCATGCAGTAGGTACTTAATAAACGCTCATTCCGTTCCTCTTCCCACTGCCATCCCCCACTCTCAGAGCACAGCCTCCCTCTCTGGGAGTTTTGCTTCTCTTGGTAGGGAAAAGCTTAAGAAACAAATCCAATGTGTCTAATCTGAGTTTTAGGTGGTATGTGACAATCACAGCTATATAGCTCTTTCCCTACTTGATCCTAATTGAGTCTCCTCAGCACCTGACAAGGTGCCCATTTTACAGATGAGAGAACTGAGGCTCACAGAGGTCACATAGAAAGTAAATGTCTGAGGTGAGATTGGAAGCCAGGCCCTCCTGACTCCAGGCCCAGCCTCCTTTTCAATGCTTTGCTTTAGTCTATAAAGGTCAGATGATTACAGACTTCAAGCTGGAATGGACCTCAAAGGCCATTTAAGTCCAACTCCATTTTACAGATGAGAAATTAGGCCAAACAAAGGAAGTGATTTGCTCCAGGATCAGACAAGATTTGAAGTCAAATCTTCTAATCTCAAACTTCCACCAAAATGCTAACTTTTGTCCTGGAAGTTGCTCTCTTGGGCATTGTCAGTCCAATGTGATAATCAGCCTAAAGTGACAATCCCAATATCTAAATGTGGTTCTTGGTCTTTCAGAAGAGACCTACCTCTCTTTAGTGTCTAGGGTGAGTCTAGAAGATATCTCAGATAAGAATCCAAGTCCCACCCGTGAAAGGCACAAGTGCCTCTTAGAAAGGGTGGAGTGAACAGGACTGGCATTTAAAAAATGCTTTGGGAAGGTAGATATGTCTGGGACCCCACCTAGCAAGGCAACCTTCCCGAAAAGCACACCCTCATATAGGAATCTCATAGGATTGTAGAGAGATCTTGGGCCAGAAGGGACCTTTAGCCTTCTTCCACTGTGGGGCAGTGGGA